TTGAACTCAACCTAAAATGATTGATTTTTGTAGTCAAAGGTAAAGGTCAGTGTGACCTTGCATCTGTCTCATTCTTGTGACTGCGGTTTCTTCAGAAGGCCTTGATGGATTTTTCTCAAATTTAACACAAACTTCCACTTGGACACAAGAATGAAGTATTAGCCTTTGATTGTCAATGGCAAAGGTCACTGTGACCTCAACATGTTTTTGGCCATAACTCAAGAATTCATACACAAACTTTGAGAATTTTTTTCATGAATGTCTACTAGATTAATATGATGAGGTCAAAGGTCAATTTCACTGTGACATAATGTTCTGCAAAACCCTTATCTGGCCATTATTCGACAGCATATCTCAGGATCAGAAGGGGAGACATTTGGAGAGATACTGAACTAATGTGTGAAGCATCCATGTTTTCACAGACATGGATGTAAACTGTAGGTGCAACTTGACTGATTCGCAAAGGCATACAACTACAAGGTGGTAATTTACTGATAGACAGCCAGCTAGCTGTGTTAACATGTGGAAACATAGCAACTACTGCCCAACCTTAGGTATCCACTGATTAGCGAACATTAGCTTTGGCTGCTCTGCATGGCACACTGGTGGGGCTGGGTGGGAGCAAGCTAGTGCCACCTCTTGTTTATCAAATACTGCTGTTAATGCCACCCCAGTAGCAGGATGATATTGCTGCGGAAACATGGTGGTCACTCTCTGGTCTACTGTATACTGTTGGGTCAGGATGGCATTACTGGTGGCATTTGCTGAATGAGCGGCGCCGCTAGCTAGCTCCCACCAGACCCAGGTGGTGCGCAGTGCATTAAACTGAAGAGTACTAAGTAGCTATAGCCTGACATGCGTAACCAGTCAAAAATATTCTCGCTGGTTAATCGATAAATGGCTGACTCTTGATATCACTATTCTGGACTAAAACAAGCTGCTATCACAAAATTATCAGACATACAACATTCTGCATAAAACTCAGCTACTGTATGGACCACCTCTGCTCCAGGCATTTGGCACACCCCTGGTGGAGGTATCTTATGAGTCAGCTCGGGCTGAATGGACACCAGGCTTGGGCAGTCATTCAATCCAAAATAGGGCCATAAATCAGCTGCTTATTTGGTCTACATCTCTGCCAATGAAAATTTGCTGCTTTTGCACCAAGAAATGTGCTTGGCTGCAAGTCAGGATCTTCAGCGGCTGTTGATTTATGCCGTGGAGAAGTGTGTTTCCCCGAGAAACTCTGATTCCTCTGGATGAGCTATGATCACACCCTTGTACACGTACATCACATAATGGTCAGAGAAGTGAGCTGAGCGACAACTCGAGAGAAAGTCTGGTCGTCTGGAATGAGCAATGATCAAGAGGCCTATAAACACACACACACACACACACACCTACACACACACATTCGCACTGTGAGCCATATGATGAGTTATAATGATGAGCGAGCATGTGACTGATTGAGCCTTCATTCCAAGTTTGTCCATGGTGTGAATAATGGCCCTGGAAGTTGTCCAAGTTTCCGGTTACCTTTTTTTCACTCTCCCTCCTTCGTTCCTTTCATATTGTTTTTACGCCAGTCTTCCAGTTCTCCCAGTTTGTTTTAGGGCTCTGTCTACATATTTTTGTTTCTTTCTCCTTCTCAAATAAATCACCACCCTAGCTGAGGGTTACCATCTGTCTGTTATCTTTGCTTTCTTTTGTTTTTACCTGATATCTGCTTTTCTTCTCATCGCCAGTGTCCCCTCCTCTCTACTTTTTTCCCCACCTCTCATTGCTTTAATGCTAACCCAAGGTTTTGGTTTTTTTTTTGCAGTGACTTTCCCTTGAACCATGTATAGCCTTTCTTTTGAGTCATTAGTGTTGGAGCTTATGCTGTCTTGAACGCAATCAACCCTCTTTATCGCCTCTGCCTTTTCTTTGTTTTATTTTTTGTTCTCTTGATGTCTTTCACATAATTGTTTCTTATTGATCCATTTTAATGTTGCATTGATTATGTTGCTGACGTTTAGTGGATGTAAAATAACCCCAGATGTGCGTCTTTTCTATAACAGATTGTCTAAACAGCCCAGGCCTGGACTGGCCCACGGGAGAACCGGGGAGTTCCCCGGTGGCCTGGCCTGCAAGTGGTCCGCTCTGGCCTGCCTGTCCTTTTTTTTTTTTTTTTTTTTAAGGCGCGCTCTGCAGCGCAGGTGGCCGTGCTGGCTGCCAGAGAGCCCGCCCGCTGTCAGAAATGATAGGTGGTTGTCAGCATTTGTCACAGTGTTTGGTCAAAAAGGTTTTTTTTTTTTTTTGTAGATTCAAGACATGATTAGTTTGTTTTGCTTTCCACCCACACCCGCCCCCAAATCAGCACGCCTGTAAACTGAAAGCAGCGTGGTTGCGGAGAGTCAGGTGGAGCAGAGAGCAGGTGTGTACGTGTACCTGTGTGTGCAGACTGTGCAGTAGGAGCTCTGCGGCTCAGCAGCGCCGTTATAATGGACCGCAAAAAGAGGAAAGGTGGAGCCGAACGGGAGAGAGATTTAAAAGAAAGGCCATTGAGGAGGAGGCGGCCAAATGTCATAAACTTACAGATATGTTCAGAGCCCCCCCAGCCCCCAGCAGCAGCGTCACGTCATCAAATGACGATGCTGCAACAAGTAGCCTAAGTTAACATAGAAAAGTAAGAAAACTGGTTATTCTCAACATAAGGTCCGGGGAGGATGGAGACCGACCTGAGGCCAGATAAATGTTTGATGATAAGCTATAAGAGCCAAATTAACCTGTAAGGGTCCATTTGGTTCCATTTTGTACAGAGGGGCGCAGGCTGAAACAGTCTGGGGACCCAGGCTCTTATCTGTCTAAGTTCAGAAGTTTTCAATATCTATCTAATGTTACTGAAATAAGCTCAGATAAGTTGAAGTTGCTGCTGACTTATATTTTTACTTGTTTTACTGTTGCATTGAATATGGGTGTTGCCATATTGATGATAATAAGCTGACATCAAAATGATTTGCTGACAAAATAATACAATCATGTTGTTTAGTTCAGTATAATACCCATTCATATAGGAGTCCTGGTTTATTGAGGGGCACATTTGGTGAGGGACTATGAGTAGGGTTGCTGTTATAGTTGTGTTTAATAGAGTTGTTGTGCCACTGTCAGTCTGGAATAATGAGCTTTGGTGAATACTTAGCCCATATGTGTGTCCGTGTGCACGTGCACATGTGTGAGCATGTAATGTGTGGATTGGGTGGCCTGGGTGGATGTATGACTCCCGGCCTGAATTTTTGTCCCAGTCCGGCCCTGAAACAGCCATTTGTTATTGCCAAATTTCTCCTTTTTGTCTTTGCCAAACTAACCACATATCTGAGCTCATTTTCTCAAGTACTCTACTTACGTACAAATTCAAGGTACCTGTACTTTACTTGAGCTTTTCCAATTCATTCAACATTATACTTCTGCTCCACTCCAAGTTTTCATACCCCTCCTGTCCAGTAAAAAATGTATCTCAAAATCTGGTGATTTTAATATTTTTATTTCTGACAAACTAAAGAATTAAGTGTTCCATTATGGGTTTAGAATTCTCAACCCATTTATTATAAACCAATTAACTTTTCTGAACTGACATTTGTGGTTTTCACAAAACAATGACACTACAATGATCTCAAAGAATATAATGCATTACTGTAGATAAACTACCCAACACTATATAAAGTAGTTAATATCACACAATTTTAAACAACTGCAGCAGTAGAATGCGACATAACCATTAATGCAGCAGGACTATCAAAAACAAAATAGCATATATAATATTAAAATGCTGATGGGGGACATTATTTTTGCAGAATGAGTACTTTTGTTTTTGATTCTTTGAGTAAATTTAGCCAGTAATACTAGCATACTTTTCATTGAAGAATGCAAGACTTTTGCTTGATGTGGAGTATTTTCACAGTGTGTTTTGTCTTCTTTTCCTTTAAGGGATGCTTTGCCAATTTTCAGCCTGGTCTGTGGCACAGCAGTGTGGGGAGTGTGTGCAGAAAACCGTGTTAAGGTGACCCCCATGGGGTTACACATTGTTCATCTGCACACACTCTCCACACTTTGGCAACACAGACCTGGTTGAGAATGGGCAAACTAAGTGAAGGATATGAATACTTCTACTGTAGAATAAAAAAATCAAAAATACAGCAGCTGCACCGAATATTAGTCCATTTTAAATTCAAGAAATCTCAGTGAGCACATATTGCACGTTTATGTGAATTAATAGATACTTGTCATAATGAATACACTGAAGCGTTTTAACAGACAGGGAAATTATCTTATTTACCATTAGGTCGGAGTTAATTAAAGCTACCAACTTTTTGTTGTATCTGCTGCAACATCCACTACATACAGCTGTAGTACATGAGACAGATAGTCTGTGAAAAACACATATTTTCTGCCTCCTTGTAGTGCTTCTAACTGTAATTGTAAGAATTCACTGCAGCTAAAGGAAAACAGCCAATCAGAGCCGAGGAGTCTCAAACCTAGCTGTCAATCATGGCTCGTGAACTGTGGTCAAACCGTCAAACTAGATATCGCTGATCAAATATGAATCACGATTGTGTGACTATTTCCTATTTCTTGCCTCAAATGCTTTCAGAAACATATTTTAGTGTACTGTTCAGCTGTAAATTGAGAAGATTTGCTGTGGCTCTGTAAAGGAGCAAGGGGTAGTTCTGATTGAGAGGTCGAGGTCCCTGTCAGCAGACAGCCTGTCGTTAAAAGCGGCCCGCCCTTAATTATGGGTAACTTTAAGTCTTAATAAAACATAAATGGGTGAGATATAAAAAAATTCTAGCATTTTAGCAAATCTAGCAAATGTGATTGGAAGCACAACAACGAGGCAGAGAAACATATTTAGCAGGTTTCAGCAAATATGACAAAGTTGGGTTTTTTTTGTTTGTTTTTTACAAACATGACCATCTACAGCTTTAAGACACATTTCTAAGTAAATAATAGGTCCCAAATGATTGGATTTGAAATTAATTGCCCTTTATTGCACACAAACAAATGAAAAAAGAAAAAAGAAAGTCAATGCACACAGCAAACATTTCTCCTACAATCTTCCGTGGATCTTCTGTATGTTGTCCCACACTGCATCACAGCACATTTATAACCTAAAGGCTGTAAAAGCAAATCTTCTTGGGTAAAAAATATGTAGTTATGAATATAAAAACAATGCATATGTACACAAATAGGTTTCTACATGATTACTTGTGGAACAAGGGTCCAATTGGAGTCTCATACAGATAAACAAGCCTTTACTGATCTGAAATATTGATTGGACTTATGTTAAAGACTCAGTGAGTTACTCCAAAAAAATCAAGAAGAGAAATAAAGTCACTCATTACAAAACATGTCACCACAAAAAAAAAGAATTAACAAAGCATCATGATTTGTAAGTCATCAATATCTATTTTTTAATGAACTACAAACATGATTACTTCTTATTGTATATGATGATTACAGTATAGAAACACTTGCAAATAAAAAGTATCAATCTTTAACGTCATGTTCAAACATGACGTTAAAGATTGATGTTTAGAAATGTCAAATTTTTGGAACCCACTGAATTCGAGAAAGACATCTATTTAGAGTCAGAGCACAGTCATGGAAAATATGAGTGGTTACGTGACTTGTCCATGAATACAATCTCCTCCTCACAAAGAAAAGGTAGCTGGAGTGAACAGTCTGCATTCCTCCACATGTAGTCTGTCCCGCTGATGGCACCACAGCGGTCAAACACGGACACCTGAGGCTGTGTGTCATTCTTCCAGTTGCTATAGGACACTGTCCTGTCACTCCAAATCCAGAATCCAAAGACACGACTCTGCCTCAGACCAATCCAGAGCAGACTATCGTTGCTGGCATTGTAAGTGTAATTTAGCCATTTTTGGACAGCCTGCTGATCTTCCGCATCCTCAATCCACAGCGGGCCTGAGTGATTGGCCTTGCAGTAGTTAAAGGCCTCTTCCCATGTTAGATTTTTATCAACCACTCTGATTCTCATGTTACCTGACATGATAGCAGGAAGAAGGCAGAAGTATAATTAACAGGTAGAGATGTAATTTCAGCCAAATGCACATGAGCTACGGTCTATTCTGTTGGACATCTGGTGTGTTCATTTATTCTTCTGTTGTTTGGATGTCCCCAGGAGTCATTTTTATGTTTCTGTGTAGTTATGTAATGCAGGTTCTTTTTGTCTTTTTACTTTGTACTCCACAAGTTGCAGTTCTTTATTTTTAAATTGAAAAACAACAAAAAAGTTAATATCTATAAACAGATGATTATGTCCTTAAAAGTTTGCTTTCATGGTTGATGATTATTTGAATGACACTGCTTCAAGGAGGCCAGTTGACTTTTCAACAGTTAACATCATGTGTTTTGTTTGAGTACAGATCATCCATCTGAAGAAGTTCACATATCCCAGTATTATTACTACAGCTACTCTCATATCGTATGTATAAGTCATCAGGTGTTTCATAAATAATGTGACATCATATGAATTCTGTTTATCTATTGCTTACCTTTAGAGCAGAAGGAATATGCTGTATTACTGGAACAATGATATTTGTGCAATAATTTTGGATTATCTGGAGATGAAACTGTGCATTCCTCTGGATCCTCTGGATCTCTACTTTCTGTATTAGTCCATTCTCTGTATGAGGAGCAGCCTCCTTCCTCCCACTCCCAGTTATCGTGCAGGAGTCCGATCCAAAAGCTTGTGCTCTCTCCCTTTCTTATCACGTCGTCATTTTCTGTTTCGTTTCTGATGCTGACCAAGTCATCAAAGTGTTTTCTGCAGTACTGCAGTGCCTGACACCAGGTCCTATTTTCTTTTACCAGGGTGTAATTATTACCTGCACAGAATAAACAAAAATATAAATTAATTAATACATGGCAATGTTACCTCCTGTTACAAATAAGTTGAGAAAGCTTGTACTTTGAACCTTCTGTGGGTTGGTTGTTACACCATGCTGAAAACCCATGTACCACAATAATTCAACAGGCATCCAAAAATCTGTTTCTTGAAACAGACAAATATGTAAATGAAAAAAACAAAACAAACAAAACAACAACTGTGCAACATCAAACATGCTGAAACTTACCCTTGTAGCACATGAAATATTTTCTGTCTGAACAGTTAGAGCCAGTCCATGTGTTGTTGTCAATAGCTTCACACATCTGCTCTTCGTCTGTTACATTCACAGATGAGTTACTGAAGTTTACAGGGGAACCGTCTGACCAGGTGGTATTTCGATCCTTACGCAGACCAAGCCAAACACTTTCTTCTGGCCCCTCTGCCAGCAATAAATTATGTATGAATTTGGCGTCCTCGTCATCGTACAGAGTGACACATGATTCATGCGTCTGATTACATGCTTGCAGTGCAACACGAAACACGTCCTTTGTTTTAGGAATACGGAAAATTCGTAGATGATTGGATGCAAATATAAAGTGAAAAGATCCTGTAAAAAGAAAACAAAAATATTTTATTATTCGCTTACTTACTATTTATGGTGTATAAAAACAAAAAATAATGAATTCTTGAAATGTACACTTGGAAAAAGTGGAGACAGCATGTAAAAGTACTCAGACCTACTGCTGACAAAGGTTTTAAAAATATATTTAATCAATCAATCAATTTTATTTATAAAGCCCAATATCGCAAATCACAATTTGCCTCACAGGGCTTTACAGCATACGACATCCCTCTGTCCTTAGGACCCTCACAGCGGATAAGGAAAAACTCCCCAAAAAAACCTTTAACAGGGGAAAAAATGGTAGAAACCTCAGGAAGAGCAACTGAGGAGGGATCCCTCTTCCAGGACGGACAGACGTGCAATTTAAAGGTCCTAAACCTGTTAAAATGACATGAATATACTTTTGTGCGCAAAACACCGACAGAACATTCAGCTTGTTGCACAGAGACACCCTTTGCGGTGGTGGTGTGTAACGAGCTGGAACAGTGACGGTCCTAGCGCCTCCGCCTGCCCCCCAATTAAAGCTTCCCAAAGTACTGCACGTTTATTACCAAAATAAAAATAAACAACCTTGCTTACAATGAAAAATAAGATAAATAAACATGTGCTAATTTGCTTTCAATACATAATCATATACATCAGGGGTGTCAAACTCATTTTAGTTCACAGGCCACATACAGTCTGATTCAATCGCAGGTGGGCCAGACCAGTAAAACCACTGCATAATATCCTATAAATAACAAACACTTTAAAACTTTCCGCCTTTTTTTGTTTAAAGAAGTACATTTTAAAAACAATCACCATTTATAAAACAGATCACAAACAGCCTCTGATGCCTTCAGAAAAATAAATGCAATTTTAACAATATCTCTCAGTTTTTCCACCTTGAGTCAGTCGACCACTCGCTGTCATTACATGTGCATTTTTCTGCATACTTCCACTCCAGTGTAGTAATACTGACATCACACCAAACTAAAGTGAAATAAAAGAAATGTAAAAATGCCTCTGAAGCAACATTTTACAAGAAGAAAGCTACTCAGTGTTGAACTTGGTCCTGAAACCTGACACCTCATGGTTTCCACATGTGCATCACTATTGGGTGTGCAAAGTCACCCAGTGGGCCGCATTGAACCTTTTGGTGGGCCAATTTTGGCCCCTGAGCCATATGTTTGACACTCCTGATATAAATCCATAATGAAAAAAATAATAATAAAAATAAGAATAAGTAATAAAATGTTGAACTTTCCAGCTGAACTAAGGATGCACTCATTTTGAAATTCTGGGCTGATACTGACAGATACAATCTCCCCAATATATTTATTTGTAATGTTTGTTATTTCTTCTTTTGTGCCAGGGAAACACAGAAATCTACACTAAAAAATAATAAATGAACAGTTTTAAAGTCAGTCAGTCCTTCTTTACACTACCTTTGAATGAGCACAAATTCAGTAATACACATTTATAAAACAACCTTTAACATAACCTTGTTTCACATGAAAAACATCTTTAAAAATGTCAAAAAATAAAATATATATGATACATTGTAATTCCCTCTCTAATACCTATTTTGTAGTGCTGTGAAAACATCAACAAATTTCTCCTTCAAACAGCTGTATTTAAACAACTTTTTCTACCAAAAGCTACATTTTACAAGATTACACTGAACACATCACGAGAACTTAATAATTTACCTTTGCCCAGTACTCAGTTTTACTGAATAGAGCTTGAACTCGCGCATCTCCCCCAGAGAGCAGGTAAAGTGTAACGATATTTTTACTTAGGCGGTATTTGATGAGTTGAGATGACAACATGTTTGGAATATTATATAGCAACCAAGACGAAGAAAAGGACCCTTACCTGCACACACCAGGAACAACACACCGGCCATCCTCACAGTTGTGGTCAGGATCATTGTTGAGAAGGCTAAATTAAAAAACACAGGAATAAAAAAAAAATAAGAATCCAAGTGAGAAGAAGATCAAAATATTGTGGTTTTAAAAAAGTGAAAAAAAACCCTTTTAATCTCATGTTGTAAACTGTTCTGTTGCATATCTATTCTGCATGGGTATATCGACCAATGTAAATAAGTGTATGTTAAATTCTGTGATGAAAAATCTCTTACCTGCTGAGATCAGGTGCACACTGCTGTTAGTTTGGCGGATTTGTTTCAGTGTCCAGAAGTCACAGGGTTATTATAGCTGGTGTCAGGGTGAACTAGCTGGTGGCACCTGTATGTTTTTTTTAAAAACATGTGTACATAGTAAAAACAGGGCAGGCAAGAGATTAATGATTAACTGAAGGTAGTGAAGGGTGGCTGGATGACAGACACACTGTTGAGCCATCTGTTATGTAACACTTTTAACAGAGAAAAACTATTTAAATTTCTCCTTGTCAAATTGTATGTGTGTTTACTGAATGAAAAGTAGAGCAGAGTATCATCAAAAAAGTTTATGTACAAAATTCAAATACTCAAATATATACACGTTTAAGACAGGCACTCATAAAGTATTGTCTTCTTCAAAGGATCTAAGGGTAGGCAGCAGGTTGGTGTTTAGAGCAACATATTAAAAATAACAATACAGTACACACAGGTATGAACACAAGAGTCAGGAGTTCAAATATTCTGCAGCTTTGAAACCCAAAAGGTGCGTCTGATAACTCGCTGCATGTTCCTCTTTCCCAGTAACCCGCACTGTATTTCCTGGAAAAGGCATTTGCATCAGATTGCATGGCACTAACGTCAATAGCAGAAACCAAAATAACATACGGCTTTGTTATTGATGAGCACTAAAGCAAGAGAGCACAGACAAGGCAAGGCCAGGTAGGCTGACTCTGATAATGCTGCGTGTGTGGATGCACGCAGGCCTTTCTATCTCATAACTGTATTAAATACACAAGCTTAGTTCTGAGTAGGGTTTGACTTCGCTTTCAAATACTCTGCAATGCTGTTCTGTGTACAGGACACCAAAATATAGTGTCTCAGGTCAGAGTGTGCGGAGCTCATTATGTGGAGTAAAAGCAAAACTTAGATTTGAACACTGGATGATAAAAACAATTTACAACCATCAAAGGGGGCCACTAGCTGTGTATCCACACACTTTTACAGAGAAGCAACTTTTTGGACAGGAGACCGTGTTATAAGTGTTAAATCTTTGTCTGCTCTGTGAAAGTTACAGCCATTGGTAAAATCTGTAATGCCTTGGTTTTCTGTAGTTCTATGATTTGCTAAATAACTAGGTTTTTGTTCTTGTTAGGGCTGGGACGACACGCTTATCTCCTGATTCACTATTATTGAAACACTTGGGTGCAGATTCAATATGTATTGCGATATTTACGGATTGTAATTCTACATGTAAAGAACCTTTGACTGTTAGTAAACAGTAAGATGTTTTTGGTGGGCGGGGCTTAGCTGGAGGCAAAACAATTCTCCACAGACATTAGCTAGTGCTAGCTACCAAGTTCTGTTGGCTTGTTTTAGACAATGGAGGAAGATGATACCAGTGGTATTTTTGGAAATATTTATTCTGAGTGCCGGAGCGCACTGTGGCACAAACCCGACCGTACGTAAATTCAGAGCGCTGTCTTAATGTACTGTTCGGTTATCCAGAGCGACACACTCTCTGAGTGGCAGAGCACACTCTGGACACTCTGTCTGGAGAGACAGAGCAGCAGAGCGCTGAGCAGAGTCAATGTGCGATTTACTTAACTGTTTGTTAATTCATATACAAATATAATGCTCTGTTTCTTCGACCAACAGGACTCTCATTTTAGTGTAGAGCGTCAGACTGAGTTTACAAACGCACCATGTCAGGTCACTCACTCTCCAAGACCACGAGTGTTACTTGAATAAGTAAACACTGATCAACAGGACCAATATGCTCTCACTCAGTGGATGGATGATGTCACAGGAAGCTTTGTGGCTGATTACTTTGCCAACCCTACAAAGGAGGATGACACTTGAACGGTTTCCCTCCACTTTGTTTTGCAATCGAAGCTAGCTAATGCGCTAAAAACTTAGCATTATGGAGAAATCCAACATTCCTCTAAATATTTCCACAATTTCAGTGGGCCGGGTCTCATCTGTGTAATGGCAGCAACAGAAAGATGCTGATCTGGCAAGGAGTTTAGGATGGGCTGACTAAACTGAAGTTGCTATTGAAGCTGCTGTAGGTCCATGTATTTGCACTGTCCGCTAATGCCTGCTTAGTCGACGGGCTGAATTAATGACTGTACCCTGTCCCGCCCCCTCTCTACATCAACGGGGACTGTGTAGAGAGGGTGGCATCCGTCAAATTCTCTGGAGTCCACATCTCTGCTGCAATCGAGAGCATACTCAAGTACTGCATCATGGTGTGGTACACTGGGAGCTGCAGGTCTTTTTCATGGCTTCAAAGCCTTTAAAAACCTTAAAGCCTTTAGAAACCTTAAAGCCTTGACGAAGACTTGCAGTAGTTGAAACATGTTGGCTCTTTAAATGATTTAGCCACTGCAATAAAGGCTTCTTAATATCTCCTTCCCTGGTTCCTATACTTTTGGATTGCCTTCCTGTCATTGATTCCCGTTCTACATGAGCAGCCGACACAAGGTTTTGATTTACATTTGATTATACAGAACAATCAGTCAACTCTCTCTTTTCCTAGTAAAACAAGATGTTGTGATCCTGAAGTAAATCTATTTTTTTCCCATCCTCTAGTTTTTGTCATGTCATTTTTGACCTTTCTACTCCAAAACCAGAATTTACAGCTTATTAAACTGTGCAATGATGCAGCATAGTTACATTAATCAGGAATACTGTTGTTTGTTAGTAGAGATGCATTTGTTTGGTATTCAAATCATAGTGCCTGTAGTGGCGTCACCAGGCACATATGTGTCAATGAATAGCCCAGTGGATCAGGACATGATATGCAAATTCATCCAGAAATTTGTTTCTGGTGAGTATTGAACTTTGGACTTTCTTTATTGGCTTGCTGGGTGATTTTAAAGGTCACCGTAATGCTGTTTCCTATTTTGAAATCTGTAAATTCATTCTCAGATTTCAGTTTGTGTCTTGACTTACCTCAAAAACATCTAAAACCCTTAATCATTTCCAGACTTCTCTTTCTCTTTTCAGACTAATTAGTATTTCAGTTTTGTGTCATCATTCGCTTGCACTGTACTCTACTGTATGTAATATATCTCTAATGTGCCCCATAATCAAACCCAACTGCCAATTTCAGGGAGAAACAGTGAAAATATGACAGTCAAGCTCCTTGAATGTCATAGTGAATGCAACAGACTCTACATGATGTTATTCAAAATACGGAAGCTACTGTACCTACAAATCCATCCATACGTTAAATGTGGTCAATAGTGCAATTAATATCAATACTTTCTCCTTTGAACACAAAAAAAGAATACCACTGGAAAATTAAAGCCATGACCAGACTTTAAAGGGAAGTGTGTTCTTCAGTTCATTTATTTAGACAGCAGTACAGCCACATGCTTTACATAGCAGGGGTCACAGATATGGGCCACTTGTTCATGTGCACACAGCCTCACATTTGTATTTCAAATAAGATCAGTGTATACTTGCAAACATGTCTAGCTCTCTCCGGTTTACGGCACACAGTGACGTAAATGTTTGGACTGGTTATAGAGGAGAGCAGGGTGTCATTAAAAATATCTGTAAAAAGACGCACTGCAATCTTCAAAACGGTATTAATCAAAAACAGTCATATTACAGAAGTGTAAATCGCTTGTTGTGTATATTCAAGAGGTAGAAATGATAGAATCTGTGTTTAATCCTCTGTGTCAGCCTGTTGATTTAAAGGCATCACTGCTAGTAATCAGGCTGCAGAGCTATCCCCACAACATACTGCATCTGACACACTGTGTGGCTGACACAGCACCCAGTGTCATGATGGAAAGGGCACATGTTACCTGAAGTCACATCAGAGCAGTGTCGGTCTGCTCTGTGGTCTGCAGTAAATCACTTTCAAAAGACAGCTCTCCTTAATGATTTTAACCCTGTCCATTCACATTTAATTTCTTGGCACTCACTGTGCATCCTGATTGTGCAACATCATTTAATCAGGCCTTGAAGAGGACCTTTTATGCTTTTCCTTATTTCATAAGTATTAAATGTGGCCAGGATTTCAAATACTGAGGTAAATGTATGTAGAAGTTATTCTTGTCAGCAAAAACCTCAAAAGAACCGCTTCAGACTGCTCTGGATACTCGATTTCCATTTTATTTTTTTTTCTACTTTGTCTACAAGCTGATGTCAGCTTGTAAAGGAGTTCTTTTGATGGTCATCTGCTCCTAGCATGTTTCTGCAAGTGTTTATATTGTGTACACTGCTACATGTAGCTACATACTGTTATCATGGTTACAGATGTTATTAATTTCCCCTGATTTCAGATCATATTCCTGTTGGAACATGTCCAGTTGTGACGATTTTGGTTTTAAAGCTTTTATTGGTGATTTTTCAAGTTAGAAAGTGCAGCTATACTGAGTTAGTCATTTACCAGCTACAAGTACACTGCTACATATAGCTACATGCTACAGTCAGGAGAACATGTAATCTTAGTTGCTGAAGTTGTTTATTTCTCTTTTATTTTGAATCATATTCCTGTTGGAACATTTCTGGTTGTAAAAATTTTGGACCAGAAGCTTTCATTGGTAATTTTTCACAGGAGAAAGTGTCACTGGACTCTGTTACCATCATTTACCAACTTCAAATACACAGACACATGTGTAGCTACATGCTAGCATGCTATTGTCAGGGAAACCTTTAATCTTGGTTTCAGATGTTGTTATTTTCCCCCAGATTTCGTATCCTATTCCTGCTGGACCATGTATGGTTGTAAAAATTTCGGTTAAGTAGCTTTCATTTGTGATTTTTCCACTGAAGAAAGTGTTGTCATACTCCATTCCTTGCTCTTTACTGCTACATGTAGCTACAGCTAACATCAAGGAAACATGTACTGTTGATTGCCAGTGTTGTTAATGACTTTTCAATTTCGGAGCATTTTCCTGTTGGAACATGTCCAGTTCCGAAGCTGTACTGTGTTACAGTCATTTCCCAGCTACAAATACACTGCTACATGTAGCTACATGCTACAGTCAGGAAACATGTCATCTTAGATGCCGATTTTTATTTCTCCCTGATTTTGAATCATATTCCTGTTGGAACATGTCT